ATTTAAATTGTCACAATTGTGGGAAAGTAGGGGTGGTTTAGACAATAATTATTTAATGACAGTCCACACTGAGAATCACAACTTTAAAGTGTGATAACCATTAAACACAAATTGTCAACAGCACATGGCAAAATATTCAAAGTCAATAGTCTTAAATCTAACACTCATGAGTTCACAAGCAGCTTTTTTCTTACTTTGTCTGTCCGTACATTCTGATGATCATTGATGGAAATATTTTCTCATCAGTTTGGGTGTGTATAGTGAAATTGACATTTACCGATATAATAATCTAATGCTTCCAAGCCTATGAATAGTTCACTCCCTGGTACGAATGTCCATGTATGCTACAATTAATGAATGTTGGGGATCTGCAAACACCAGGGCCCCCCTCATACAGACCCAGAGAGTCCTTTGTGGGGTACCAGGCCCTATGATCTTCATTCCTCCTGCACAAGGGAAGCAGCAACAGGCAGGCGGTGCTTGCAAGGTGGACTATTGAATTTGGAGCACCATCTCTAAAGCAGCATACACTAGCTCCTGCCAAGGTGTACGGGGTAGGCCTGGGCTTTGCCACCTGTCCTCGTTCTCCCACTGGACTCAAATGGACACACCAGGCCCAATATCCCTGTCTCCACAGAGCCTGCCAAGGGGGGAAGACTATTAAAATTATAGAATCGTAGAATATCAGGGTTGGAAGGGACCTCAGGAGGTCCTCTAGTCCAACCCCCTGCTCAAAGCAGGACCAATCCCCAACTAAATCATCCCAGCCAGGGCTTTGTCAAGCCTGACCTTAAAAATATCTAAGGAAGGAGATTCCACCACCTCCCTAGGTAACGCATTCCAGTGTTTCACCACCCTCCTAGTGAGAAAGTTTTTCCTAATATCCAACCTAAACCTCCCCCACTGCAACTTGAGACCATTACTCCTTGTTCTGTCATCAGCTACCACTGAGAACAGTCTAGATCCATCCTCTTTGGAACCCCCTTTTAGGTAGTTGAAAGCAGCTATCAAATCCCCCCTCATTCTTCTCTTCCGCAGACTAAACAATCCCAGTTCCCTCAGCCTCTCCTCGTAAGTCATGTGTTCCAGTCCCCTAATCATTTTTGTTGCCCTCCGCTGGACGTTTTCCAATTTTTCCACATCCTTCTTGTAGTGTGGGGCCCAAAACTGGACACAGTACTCCAGATGAGGCCACACCAATGTTGAATAGAGGGGAACGATCACGTCCCTCGATATGCTGGCAATGCCCCTACTTATACATCCCAAAATGCCATTGGCCTTCTTGGCAACAAGGGCACACTGTTGACTCATATCCAGCTTCTCGTCCACTGTAACCCCTAGGTCCTTTTCTGCAGAACTGCTGCCGAGCCATTCGGTCCCTAGTCTGTAGCGGTGCATGGGGTTCTTCCGTCCTAAGTGCAGGACTCTGCACTTGTCCTTGTTGAACCTCATCAGATTTCTTTTGGCCCAATCCTCTAATTTGCCTAGGTCCCTCTGTATCCTATCCCTACCCTCCAGCATATCTACCTCTCCTCCCAGTTTAGTGTCATCTGCAAACTTGCTGAGGGTGCAATCCACACCATCCTCCAGATCATTTATGAAGATATTGAACAAAACCGGCCCAAGGACCGACCCTTGGGGCACTCCACTTGATACCGGCTGCCAACTAGACATGGAGCCATTGATCACTACCCGTTGAGCCCGACAATCTAGCCAACTTTCTAACCACCTTATAGTCCATTCATCCAGCCCATACTTCTTTAACTTGCTGGTAAGAATACTGTGGGAGACCATGTCAAAAGTTTTGCTAAAGTCAAGGAACAACACGTCCACCGCTTTCCCCTCATCCACAGAGCCAGTTATCTCGTCATAGAAGGCAATCCCCAGACCCTTGGAGCTCCCTTGTCAAAGCAGTCTACCTAAGCCAGTAACTCAGCACCTTCCAAGCCTTTCTGCCCAGACAGGGACCTGGTGACAGAGATTGAAGTACTCATCCCAGACACGGCTGCTGTAACTCACTAGATCTGGATCTGAGAGTGGAAGCAGTGCAGAGGCTCCAGAAGGCTGATTAATGCCTTCAACAGGTGCCACAACCACTCACCGTGCCCTGTGCTATGCTCTGTTGTATGAATTCGGATGGAATACATGGGCCCAAAAAGTCAACAGTGTTAATGTGACCCTGAAACTGTCCAACCTTAAACAGTGTGTTCGCGGTTTGGCACACAGAGACCTTCGCCTGGTTAGTACGATGGCAAATGCACCATTAACAATCTTTTCAACTTTGTATTAAAGATACAGAAAAAGTGGGGAAAAACAGTTAAAACATTTGAAATGTCAATGATTAGGTGAGGCTGTAATTTTAAGAGCAACCCTCGTTCCCTTTCTCTTTAGCTAGAGAGAGTCTTTATACGAAACCCCCCCTTGTTTGACAGTCTCTTAAGGCTATAGCTATACTAGGGAACTTACAGCAGCCCCGCTGCACCGCTGTAAGCTCTCCAGTGTATCCATTCTATGCTGATGGGAGAGAGCTCTTAATTAATTAGTCCACCCTCAACAAGCAGCCATAGCTTTTTATTACAAGTCCACTCTGAGACCTGGCAAACTTGTTCCAGCATTGAACTGTTTAGGCATTGCTTTTAGCTGCCTCTTTCTTGTCACAGGCTTAGAGCAGTCTTGCAAAGTTAGTCTTGGCTGGCTAACGCAGACTCTGAGACAGAAGGCACATGGAGAAGGATAGGAAAGAGAAGAAACAAGATGGCGATGGAAAAGGACATCCTGGGGGTTAGGTGTGGGTGTGACAAAAGTCTTATATCCCTGGTGGTGTTTGGGATTCAGCCAGAGCCAGTGGAGGTGGTGTTGTCACCTGGGTCCCTCTCTTGGCTCAGTCTGGTCAGGACATCTCTTAGGATCAGGGCAATGAAGGCCCAGTGCTGTTACTGTGGATCCCAGAGTCCCAGGAGATGTTGGTGGTGGAAGCCATGATAGTGAAGCTTGCTTCTTCCCCTTCTTTCAGTCAGCCATTTTCCCCTTTTGCTTCCTCTCTGCCAATTTTCCTCTCAAAGTCTCTTATTTCCAAAAGGGAGGGATGGGCAGCACAGCCCATCCTCTCATTATTTTGTTCACCAACAGGCCTAATTTCCAACACACCCCTTTTAATTCACTGGTTTCCAGTCTCATGCTGGGCTTGGTTACCCAGTGTGTTCTCCACACAGTCCTTGAGTTGTAGCAGTAAAGCCCAATTCAGTCTGGTTTTCACTTTTTCTGAACAACCTTGTGTAACACTCCTAGCTAGACCTTTGTTACTTTTCTCCCAATCAAAAATGTGTTACCCTTTGTTATTACAAGGGACTAAACCATAGACTTCCATCCATTTTCCCCACAGATAGGCTCACAACTGAGGTAGGCCTTCTAGGTCCCAATTATTGCAGCAGGTCACTTTCCAGATTCCCATTCGTTCCACTTCCAGTGTTAGTCCTTTGACCCTGACCTCTAAAGCCATTGAGTCAAAATCTAGCCACATCAGCGACTGTCCTCTGGGCTCCCAATGGCTGCACAGCTCCAGAACCATGCAGGACAGCTGTACCAAGACAGGGGGAGGGGAAGTGGTGCTAGCAATCTAAAACCTGCCTAATCATGGGGAAATGTTGTGCAAGGCAGCTACTCCCTGCTCCCCCACAGGACCCTGGAGCATCTGCCAGGTGAGAACCTTCTGTTCTGTCTGGGAAACAGACACCTACCTTGGTGCTGACTAATCTGCCAGGGACTGAGCATCAAGAGACACTAGCGGGCAGACTGAGCCCTACGCGGTAATGACAGGCAGGTAAGGGCACCATAATGACTGGGCTGCTTTACAAAGCATCAAGGGGCAGATTTCCAAATGGTCCCTCAGTGCCTAACACTAATTGATTTCAATGGGAGTTGAGTGGCTCGTGGGTTTTTCCAAGCTTCTATCTGGATCTTCAGACTCTAATTACCTTCGGAAATCTGGCCCAATGTCTCTACACGCAGTCCTCCTGCATCCCCAGCACTTTGAGACGGACCTCTGATGACTGGGTAGCAGCCACAGGGGCAGCTGGAGGAAGAGGTGACAAGCCAGGTCAGAAGAGTATGAGTGGGGTGAGATGAGGTGAGGCAAGCCATCATGTGGGCTGTAAGCCAACCATCGAGAGAAACTCAAAGTTGCTCCCATCCCAGCCCAGCTGAGAGGTGAGAGGGTCCCGATAACCATAACCACAAGGTTATATTTAGGTCAAATGTGCCTCTGATTCCAAAGCTGCCCTCACCCTGTCATAGCTAGCAGTGTCCTTCACCTCCTCCTGGGAGAGCTTATCACACAACTATAAACCAAAGTGCAACTACAAAAATAAACATTCTCCGTGGAACAGCCTCAGGGCGAGATCAGAACTTTAAAAGGCCATGGAAAGCCGATCCCCCCAAGGACAAAGCAATCAGCAGTGCTAGACACTAATCTGAAATGCCACCTTAACATTATTTAAAATAATTTAAACAGGATCATAAAGTTACCTTGTGCTTAGCGTAGATTAAGATGAATTTGCTGCACTGAAGGCTTTACAGCCCAGGAATCCATTTTCATGCACTGTGTTGTATAACATAAATCTACATGGAAAGTTTTATGTTTTATGCTGTAAAAAGGCTGGGTGAACTGGTTCAGATAAAATGAGAACCAGCCTGATCTTTCATCCTAGGTTAAGTGGCCATTGATCCCCTTTCTGAGATTCGAATGGGTTCAGGAAACATTTCAGCAGTTGGGCTTTAATTTTTCATGTGCAAGGTGGGACTAGAAGCCAAGACTGCCAAAAAGCTAGTACAAGCAGCCACATAGTCCAGCGACTCCAGCACTAGACTAGGAGCCAGGAGACCGAGCGGTTCCAGTCTTGTCTCTGCTGGTTTAGCATAATGTCTCTGGTTTACTCATCCCAGCCTCCTTCTGTTCTATTTCCCCGACCTGAAATAAACAAACAGCAAATAACAAACTGTACCTTTTTCTTTATTTGATTCCGACCTTCTCGCTTGTGAATCTCTCACTATCTAACCAGCAACCTGGGTGTAGATCCTGCTGACTGTGCCACTGTGACAATTCCCAGGGGTACACAGGATTCTGAAGCAACTGGCTGCCACCTGCCCTTCACGTGAGGAAACCTGGTGTGTGTCTGGCAGGGGTCAGCTCCCTGACTCTGCAGGCCCCTCATCCCACGTGAGTTCCGCTGCCCTCCTGCAGGCTAGGGATGGGCACACTCCAACCTGAGTCCTCTGAGCGTCCCCCTGCAGCATCCAGCCCTTTATCCACTGCACAGTCACAGAATCACTCTTTCCCAAAGGCACAGTACACCACAGATTACTAGCTACAGCTTAGACACGCCCCCCTCCCCGCTCCACTCAACAGACAGCCCTTTGACAGGTTTATAGTGAAAACAAGAATAAGTTTAATGAACGAATAGAGAATTAAATGATAGCAAGTGGGATTAATGGAAGCAAAGGATTAAATATATAATAAAATCATAATGCACATTCTAGATCTTACACTTTAATTAACACAATGCCCTCCGGTCTAATAAGGTCCTGCTTACCCAAAGTCCTCCTCTCCCAGTGGTTTTCAACCAGGAGGGCTGAGACCCTCCTTTCACAGGATCAAGCCTGTTGGCAGCGTGTCTCCCACAGATGAAGAATGTCAAGGCATCTTTCTGCACCCCTAGATACATTAGGCCAGTCCTTTGTTCTATACCTGTAAACAGGGTGCCCTCCATGGCTGTTCACCTCTTCCTGTTAATTTTTTCTCTTGAAGTCCCCACCATGTGTCCATTAGCACTGGACTCAGTATGCAAATCATCTGCCATCGTAAGACGCACAATGTGCAATGGTCACCCAGGGAGAGAATGTCTCCCAGCACCTCCTGCCTGGTGGAACCTGTAACGAAGCATGCTGTCGCTGGATGACCTGCCTTTAAGTACAAGGCCTTAGGAACGGAATTACCAATATACGTATCAGCCGCACGTACATGTTGCAAAGGTTATGATGATTTGTGTGAGACAGGCTTTCAGTAGAAACCTTACACAATACTGTGGTGAACTTGAATGTAAATATGAAACCCAGAGGCTCCCTGTAACCCTTGTGCCCTCTGGCAGTTGGCATCAAGAGGTCTGAGGGAGCGTCACAGCTGGTCACTCATTCTGTGACCTTGGGCAAGTCACATAGGCCAAAATTTTCAGACGTGACCTCTCTCTGAAAATCCCTCAGTTTCTGAGTGCTCAACCTGAGCTGCTTTGGGCCTGATTTTGAGATGCAGTGAACACAACTCAACCCCAGTTAAAGTCAAGGCAAGTGGGGAGGGTTCAAAATCTCAGCAAAACAAACCGTTTCAAGGGGCCTCAAGGTGGGGACCCAAAATCAGCAGCTCTTTTGGCAAATGTGGGCCTCAGCCTGTTTCTGTTCCCCAGTATCTGTAAAATGGAGACAATAATGTTTAGCCACCTTTGTTAAAAGCTTGAGATCGAGGGATTAAAAATGCGAAGCAGCATCAAATTATGGCACTTCTGATCCAGCCGCTGCCAGAAAGTGCTAGATAACTCGTGGGAAAATGTTAATTTCAGACCACTTTTGAGAGCAGCATGCAGCCTTTCAGGTCTTTATCCTAATGCAACCTTCTGAAATTTCCCCATCATCATCCATCAACTCCACTGCTGTTACAGTTTGCATGAAAAGGGGCGGGGGGCGGGGGGACTGGGAAATCGGTAGTTTTTTTACACAGACACCTGGGAAAACATTTTTGTTTTGATCCACATGCATTCACACCTCCCATGTCAGCCCAAAGCTCCAAGTTGGAGCTGCTGGGTTTCCTCTGCTTTTGTGTCAGACCCAACAATCCGAGCTTCACTTGAAACGAGACCCAGCCTCCCCAAAAGGCTTGTGAACGGTAGTGAACCTTTTGGTGAATCTGGTGTGAGTTTGCAGGCTGCCCCAGTCCCTCGCCAATTAAGGCTGCAGTTACAGCAGAAGGCTTTTGTGATATGAATAAACCCCTGCATGGTTCACATTCATAACTTATCATTTGCCATGTCCCCAGGACCCTCTGAGGATACAAATATGCGGGAGTCTTTCATCGGACTGTTGAGCAGATCATTTTTTATATCTGTGAGTGTATAAAGAATGCGGGATGGCTGATGCCTGTCTACAAGTGACTACATGAGAGAAGATGACCGAGTTCCCCTGTGCTTTTGCTTCGAGTCTAACTGTATAGTCTATATTTAGTGCATTTTAAAGATAACCCTTTTGTTCTATTTCCAGCCCCCCCGATTTCCTGGACTTTTTGTATGTCGCTGGATTGCAGCTTCAGAGTGTACACAGACTTTTTATTTTCTAATATCCATCCGTAGCGGGGGGCGTCACCCACTCCTGCCCTGAAGGGCTTGAAATCAGCCCTGGGAGAGGGCTGAGGCTGCGAGAGGGCTGCTGCTAGGGAAAGCAAAAAGCCTTGGCTGTTTGGGGAAAGAGCCACAGCTGCGGCCACGCCTCAGTCAGGGCCCAGCTGGCCTTTATAAGAGGGCACTTGGCCAGGAGGACACAGTCTCTCTCTAGATGGTGAGAGGGAGGGGGCCTGACTGTTGGGAGCAGAGTGGAGCAGGGCTGGGGAAAGGCCAGAGGAGCTGGGGAGCTCTGGCCTGAGAAACCCCCAGGCTGCAGGCCTTGATGAAAGCCTAGGAAAAGGGTACTTGGGGTTGCAGAGGGCAGCCTAAGGGTAGGTAGAAGCAGCAGGTCCAGACTCTCCTTGCCGATGATGGGTGGCAATTATACTGCAGTTTGCCCCAGGGAGTGGGGGCTAGATGGTGACTGGCAGTAACCAAAGACTGAGGTGAGGTGGGGATAGAGGGTGGGGGTTCCTGGGGGGAGACCCAGATTTGTGGGGGTATTGCCAGGGGGCAGCACCCTGGTGTGAAAGGGGCATTGGGGTCTGGGAGGGACTCAGGGCCCAGTAGCAAGCAGGGCACTGGCCTGCAGAGGGTGCTCTGGAGGCTAGAAACGCTAATTCTCTGGACTACCAGCAGGAGGTGCCGCAGGGGGGAGTCCCACCCCACTACACCATCGATTTAAACATTTAAAGGTGACTTAAAAGGGGGAGGGGAAATAGGGTTTGTGCTATTTTGGGCTTCTTTATAATTTACAGAGAAGGCCAAAAAAAGAAGTAAGTTGTTTTTTCCCTGCTTGATTTTTTTACAATAAAAATTCAAGTCTTGCCTACCCTGCTTTTCCTGGAAGTTTCTATGGATGACTAGTAGGATTACAGCATCATAGGTACTAAGCCAGCAAACCTTGCTCAAGTGACAGGGGACATTATTTTTGTTAAAACTCTTTTAAATGAGTGGGGTGGAGGGGAGAATTGTGAATATATTTTATTTAACTCCAATGCCTGCCAAAGAGCTGGGAGGAAAGTTCTCTATATTAAAGATGCAACATCCCATCCCTTCGAACAGGGACGTGAAAGCTCCCACCCAGTCCTCTAGTTCTCCAAAGAGATCGCCAGCAAAAACAGAGCATACAAGGCTTGATGTTCCTGATTGTCCGAAAATAAAAAGAAAATGAATTTTTTTGTTTTGTAACAAAAACGTTCACACAGATCCCTGTGCATCATGAAGAAGGACTCAGGCTCTCAATTTTATTATTCCTTTAAGCTGGTGCTCAGAAGTGACAAAACCTCCCTTTCAGCAGTGTTTAGACGAAGCTGCTGCTAGGGTTCTGTGCTGCCCCTTCCCCCTCCCCCACCCACAGGAAATGTAAATGTAAAAGCTTTAAAAAAAATCTTGCTTCCCAGTTTGTTTTGTTCTTTTCAATGACTCTTTATTGGAAAGATTGGGACTCAGGTAGGGTTGCCAACTTTTGTAATATTTAAAAACTGGACACTCCAGCAGGAGTTCTGGAACCTCCCTCACCCCACCTCTTCTCCCCCCCACCCCATCCTGTCCCTTCCCCTCAAAGCCCCACCCCCGATTTGCTCCTCTTCACCTCTCCCCCGCTGCTTACTGCTCTTCCCCTGTTTCCCCTCTCTCTCCTTGGGTTGGGAGGGACTTATCTGCGGAGCCAGGGCTGGGAGCTGTAGCTGCCTGACTCAGGTAGGAGGTGGCCCTGGATGATTAAGGGCTGGTGTGGGTGATGACCCAGTGCCTTCCTACCTCCCCCGCCTGCAGTAACTGGACTTTGGGTGTCCAATCAGTAGATCTGTTATGTTCCCTTTTCAATCAGACTTTCCAGTTGAAAACTGGAAACCTGGCCACCCTAGACGCAGGCGTTCCATCCTCTGATGTGAAACCTGAATGGGTGGGGATTTGTGCATACCTCCAACACCAACCCCCGAAGAATAGAACCTTCGGGTGGAAACAGATTATGTCACTTCTAAGCTCCTGGTTTTCTTTCTGGTTAGCTGTTAAGGGAGTATTACTATCTTAGAACATTGAAGTGGGTTCAATGAGATTAGACAATGATAAATGGATAGAAAAAAATCAAGCTAAGTTAGAAAGCTGGGGTCTCCATCCAGCTATTCTTGTAATTTTAAATTTACTATTTTTTCTTAGTGCTGCAAAATCCAGACATCTGCAGGTCACCAATTCTCACTGGGCATTACAGCTGATCAAATCATAGAACCATAACAATAAATAAATGACTGAATATGTCAAGCACTAGACTTTTGGTTGATTCAATCGCTTTAGTATTGGCGGTTCATGAACCATTGGAGGTGGTTTGGATGATTCGAGATTATGTGGTGATGGATAAATGTACATGTGCATTCAACACTGAATTTGTGTCTTTGACTGGGCCCTAATGGGTTGTGTTCCAGCACTGCCTCGTGTGTAGGTCATCCAAGCAGGAACCAGAATAAGTCATGTGACGTGAGTGACAATGTTCAAAGTTTGAATAGCAAATTGGAACCTTTTCTTGCGATACTTGTGGGATATGTTGTAAAATTATTGTTGTTTATTATTTAGGACGATGCCCAAAGACCCCAATCAGAATCAGTACAAGGCACTGTACAAGCAAGTAAACTGACAGTTTCTGCCTTGAAAAGCTTGCAATATAAAGCCAGAGTGTCAAGAACCTTGAGTTCTAATCACAGCTCTACAAAGACCTCCTTTTGTGACCTTGAACGAGACAGCAGATTTCTCTCTCTGTGCTTCAGTTTCCCTAAGTTCAGCATGATAGCCATCTGCTTTCCAGGGGTGTTGTGACAATGAGACAATGTCTGCACATAAAGCTCTATATACAGTAAGCAAAAGTGCCAAGTTCTGTACGGAAGCTCTGTGACTGGCAGGTAACCACC